CAGCCCAGCTCAGCCCAGCTCAGTTCAGTTCAGCCCAGTTTAGCCCAGCTCAGCCCAGCTCAGCCAGGTTCAGCTCAGCCCAGACCAGTTCAGCCCAGTTAAGCCCAGCCCAGCCCAGCCCAGCCCAGCTCAGCCCAGCTCAGCCCGGTTCAGCCCAGCCCAGTTCAGCCCAGTTCAGCCCACCTCAGCCCAGTTCAGGCCAGCTCAGTGCAACTAAGTTCAGCCTAGCTCAGCCCGGTTCAGCTCAGCCCAAGCTCATCTCAGAAATGCCAGCTCAATCTGGTTTAGTCCAGCTTAGCTGAGGACTGCTTTGGGCAGCCCAGTGTAGTCCTGTACAGTGTAGTCCCAAAAGCCCAGTCCTGGGACTGGCCAGAAAATGTCAGGCCACCAGACCGGCGTGACTTCGCCAAAGCCATCTTATCCAGGAATCCTGTACAGCTGAGCCTAGCTCAGGGTCAGTGCCTTCTGGTGCCCATCCCTACCTTTCCCAGCCTTGTGTGTCCTTGGGGATTTCTCCAGTGGAATCCCCTATTTTTCCATGGCCCGGTCCAGTCTCAGCCAGCTCTTGGCCCCCAAGCATTATCAGTCACTACCACCTCAGTTTCCTGGGTAAAATACTTCCCGGCAAGTTCAAATTCACCAAGACATTTTATAAGGACTGAGGAGTGTTTGCCGTCATCAGAGTGAAAACCCGTCTTTGCCTTAGAATAGGCAGAGACTTTGCTTCAGAAAACTGTGCTGGGGACTCTCCCCATGGGGCCTTCACTCTCCTGGGTACATGCCCTTAGCTGGTCTTCTCCCTTCTGAGTCTAAAGTAGGCCCCCAACTTTAACTAAATTTCCTCTAAATAAAAATCATCATTAAACATGACCAAAAATGCATCTCATCTGAATTTGCGCATATAATGCTGCTTTTTGTCCTGAAGCTTTTCACAAGGCGAAGGCTACTTTCAAATGCACAATAATGACCTCAAATCCGAAGCTGCGTTTATGACTCAAAGATGGCATGAAAGGCACTTTGTTTATGTTAGAGCATCTGAGCCATAGAATCCATAGTTAAGAAGCCAGACAATGGCCACTCAGGAGTCATACAAATAAATCTCATTGTTTCCCTGAGCGATCTTAAAAAATGACTCCTCCTCAAGCAGAAACCAAAACACCACACACAAACTTTCCGGAGCAGCAAATTTGGCAGCCGGGACTGCCTCTCTCTTACCATTTTGGCTCCCTGGTCACCAGACAGTCCCGTGGGGTCTTTGGTATTGAAGAATTCCTCCAAATCCATTAAAATTGGCTCTTTGATGAATAGCCAGTTGGCAGAAGCCACGGCAGCCCCGGGGGGGCGGGGGGGGCAGGTGGACCCTCCACTGGGGCTCCTTCAGCTCAGGAGCCGGCCCGAATTCCTTTCTGATTCGAGACCTGACTGGGCTTCCTCTTACTCCAACAACCAACACTCTTCACTGAAATCATTCAGGACAATCAGCACACACGCTTCGCCTAAAACATGTCCCAACAAGAGTGCTCGGAAAGCAGTCTTGAAAGTGCTGACATGAATGAAGGCCACTTTATCAGGATATCTAAATGCTTCTTAATCACGAAGAGAAAATCAACCAACTTAAAATATTTAGAACACAGTAATTATGAAAACAATGCTTCGGGGTGTTAGAAAATGTTTGAGATTAATGACCGTTTGAGGAAATAACTAATTTAAAAAGTTAACATGAATGCCTTGATAAACTGTCCCCCAGACTTCTCATTTCTTACATGTCTTAGTTTCAAAATGAGTATAAATGAGATGTTGGCAAGCGAAGACTGAAGAATTAAATTCAAATCGTTAAAAAAGGAACTGTTCCAGCTTCTGCCAGCATCTCAGTCTTATTTTAGAAATGCAAATTATGCAGGTGTTGTTTTTCAGACTCGCAGGGCTGAGCAAAACCTCCCGAAAACCATTTCTTCGTAACCATAAGCTATAAATTTGCCAAGTCTGTTTACTTGTTTCCCGAAATAGACCGTCCCTGTGACCTGTTTCCGGCCACCTGGTGCAGGTGTCCGGCCCCACACGCCGCCTCCTGGCCAACTCCACAACACCACTTCCAGAATAGCTGAATTAAATAAAAAGTAAACTAATTCATTACTGTCAGAACTCAGCTCTGGGTAGGGGGGCCACAACACCGTGTTGCTATGTCCTGTATCTACTCCAGAAAGACATGATTCATGCTTGCTAATTGACTGATAGGATTAAAAAGTCTGGCATGCTCGAAAATCTCTCACATTTTTAAAGTCTCAGTGGTCTTAATTATTTTTCTCAGGAGCCACTTCAGACACACCCTGTCCTTTGATAGTTATCGCGCCTCTCACAGGGAGCAAGCTGTCTTCTCCCAGAAGCTGCCCGCACTGAGCCGAGCTCGGTGGCCCCAGGCCTGCCCTTCCTAGGCGCCTAGTCCTTGCAGTTGACCAAGAATTGTAAGCACAGAACACCACTCCTCATCCCGAAAAAAGTCTTTCACGGCGCGCTCTCTGTGCGGCATTCTCGTGGCGCTCCAAACACAGCTGCCCACACGCACTCGTGAGCCGACACCAGGATCCAGATAGCGAGACCTCTCCTGCCACAGCCACACTGTCCTGTGGCCATGGGGGTCCTGGCAACTCACCCACACATGGCCTGTCCAGCCTCCGGCCCCTCTTCAGGGGCTCAGTTACTGCCCCGGACATGCTGGCACTATTCCAGTTTTAGAAAAGCATCAGAAAATCAGGAGGCTCTGAAATCCCTAAGGCACCCAGCTCTCGTCCCCTCCCGGCCAGCCTGTCCCTGGCGGACAGTCCTGAGGGCCAGCCATCGATGCCCAGAAAACCCCACAGACAGGAGTAGAAAATAAAGGCCCCAGCAGGGCCGCTCCTACCTGAGGACACTGTGACTATGGTTCCATGGCCCCAGAGATCGATACCGTAGTAATCACAGTGGTGAAGTCTCCATTTGCACCCATCAAAACCCTGGGGGCCTCACCTGGCATCGCCCCCTCTGGAGGCCTGCACTTCCAGGCCGCACGGAGGCCGACCCTCCAAGTCACTGTTGTCTGGAGGGTCCTGGACCCCCTCACTGGCCCTGGTCCCCACACCCCACTGCCCCTGAGACCCCATGTCCTGGCCTGGCCCCTCAGAAGCCAGACCACCGCCTGCCTGGGCCGCCCGACTACAAACCGCAGCCCCGAACAGGAACTCAGAAGTCCAATCAGCCCCAAGGGCCACTCCCCCGGACGGCAGGTGCATCAGGGCCACAGACCCCAATTATGTTGATTATACCACAGTCACGGGGGCCCCCCAGGAGGCTTCAGTTACGTGGCCAGGCCACTCAAAGGAGCCGCCTTGTCCCCAACTGTGGAAAGGTGATCTCCAGCCCCGTGTCTGGGGGACCCTGTCTCTGCCTCCATTTCCTGGCCTCCAAAATGCCCCAAACCCCAGATCTCCCCAAGTGCAGCCAGAGTGGGAAGGGTGAGGACCCACCTGAAGACACGGTGACCAGGGTCCCGGGGCCCCAGTAGTTGACCCAGTTGTCACATTGTGACAATGTTGGTGGGGCCCCAGACAAGAAGTGGGGCCTGGCTAAGGCCTCTGTCCACCTCAGATCACAGCCAGTGGGGCTGAGAGGACCAGGTGGCCCCTGAAGCTGAGGGTGGCTGAGGTCCCCGGAGAGCCTGGCCACCAAGCCAGCCCTAGGTCCGAGACCCTGGCACCCTCCGTTTTCTCCCCAAATGCAGCCAAAACCTCCCGACAGAGAGAGGAGAGGAAAGCCGGGAGGACTCACCTGAGGACACCGTCACCAGGGTTCCTTGGCCCCAGTAGTCAAAGTAGTCACATTGACACGGGCCCCGCTAAGGGGTGTACAAAAACCTCACCCCCTGACCACTGCCTGGCTTTCTGAATCCTCAGGTGTGAGCCCCCTCCAGCCCTGGACACGGAGCCCCCTCTGCCAACCTGCCTTCCACAGGCCGGAGGCCCCGCTCCCTGCAGAAAGGCCATCGGCAAGGTGGGAACCCCACAGCCTCAGAAGCAGCCCTCTGGGCTCCCCAGAAGGCCCCACACAGACCAAGGAGCCTCCGGATATTTCTTCCTCAGCCCCGAGACAGAGGGAGCAGACAGAAAGTCATCTTACCTTGGGAGACGGTGACCTGGGTACCTTGGCCCCAGATACCAAAAGTATTGCACAGGGATACAATCCCTGCTTCTTCCCAGACAAAAATCTTCCCTGGCCCCTTGCACGGGCTGGGACTCATTCCCCAAGGATGCAGCGGACACAGCTGGCTTCCCTGCCCCCAGCCACCCAACCCCAGGGCACGAGGGAGGCAGGCAGGGGTGCAGCTACTCGAGGAGATGGTGACTGGGATGCCCCGTCCCCACATGTCGAGCTCATAGCGACTCTAGTGTGCCAGGCCAGCCCCGAGCACACAAATATCCAGGCCTGGCCCCAACCCTGCTCTGCCACAATTTCTCCTTCCAGCCAACACCTGTCCCCGGGGCTTCTCTTCTCTCTGCCGGCTCTCAGCTTGCTTACCACCAGGGGCCCTGTCAGCTCTAAAGGCTAGTCCCTAATGGGGCTGGGGCCCAGCAGGCCTCAGGCACTCAGCCCATGGTGGAGCTGTGACCGGCCCAGGGACCTGGCCTGAGGCCCCCAGAGCAGGTGCAAGGGGGACTCACCTGAGGAGACGGTGACCAGGGTGCCCTGGCCCCAAAACTGGAAGTAATCATAGGCACAGTGAGCTGTCCCTGTGCTGGGGACTGCAGAACCCCCCACAGCCAGGGTCCCCAGGGAGCCCCAGGAACTAGAAAGTCTGTTTTCTGCTTGAAGAGATGATCCACCCTGGGCCCTGGCATGTTCCTTCCTGACCTCAGTCTCCTGGCCCGGGCTTTGGATGTCCTTCCCGACACCCGACTCCCTTTGGTCCCGAGGTCACGTTCTCGCTGCTCTGCCTTCCGATGACCTTCACTGCCTGGGGCCCAGTGTTGCCCTCCCTCCCTGAACCACTGGCCAAGCTGCGCCCCAGCACCCAGTCCGCTGCATACACCATGCCTCCCCCGGGGCCTTGGCGACCCAGTCCGTCCCTCTGGCTGGAACGCGTCTCTCTGTCATGACCACTTGGGAAATCCCCTGGCCTTCTGTGACCAGCTCAACACCACTCCCTCCCCTCCCCCGGCTTCGTTGGGTTGCCCAGCGACTCCCGCCCCTGGCCCTGCAGTGAGCCCCAGAGAATGAGCAGCTGGCCGCCCTGGGAGCGCTCTGGCACTGGGTTTCTGTAGAGCTGTCGGTCACGGTGGCCCTGGTTAGCACTATGGTTCCTGGCTTAGCCAAAACCCCACGGGCTGTAAGGCAGGCGAGGGGGAGCTTGGTGGTGGGCCACAGGGCACACAGGAGACCCGGACCTCCATCCGCCATCATTCCTGAGTCATGAGCACACAATGATCAAAATGTTGAAGGCCTCCCCTGCGCATTTTCCTTCTTTCTTTCAGAAATAAGAGCAGATCCAAGGCTGGGTCCATGAGCCACCTGCATTTGAGCTGTGTTGTCTGAGAACATCCCCAGTGGTGGCCCGTGGGCCCCACCCAGGCTCATGGTTGACCAGAGAGGTGGGCCCCATGGGGCCAGAGTCTCAGTCTGTGAGACTGCCCCTCCTCAGCTCACACAGGTAGAGGCAGCAGCATCTACGTCGTTAACTCTGCCCACTCATGTCTTCTGTGGACCAGGACTCCCAGGAGGCCAGGGCCACACCAAGCCCTTCATGCCCCCGGGGAGAGATGTCTGTGTTCCCACCCATCAGACCTGGGGCTGAGTGCCGGGACCCACAGGCTCCCATGGGCCAGCTGTGAGTGTGGCGGGTGTGTGTGACAGGGCAGGGGGAGACAGAAAGGAGACAACCAAGGACTGGGAGGGATGATGAGACCCTGAGGCTTGTGGCTGAGCAGGTGAGGGAAGGGCATGCTAGAAGCACATGTGTCTGTGTGCCTGTGGGTTTGGGTGCATAACTCCAGGCACAGGGACAACCAGAGCCCTGATCCAGGCTGGGCTGTGGGCCTGGAGAAGAGTGGCAGGTGGCTTGGTTGTAGATGGACGCAAGATGGCCTATGTGCCCTTTGAAGAAGCTGAGGGTCTTTCTCTGGAAAGTTCTGTCTAGTATGGCATGGAGGATGGATGTGGGCTGGGCTGGGGCCACCAGGAGTAGGAAGGCCGTGGGGCTGTGGGAGGCAGAGGGCAGGGATGGCAGGCGTGTCTGCGGTGGGGCTCCCAAGAAGCAGGACAAAGGCTGGGGCTCCAGGTCACTGGCCTGGTCTTTGGGAAATGGGGACAATGCTGGAGGTGTAGGCACAGCAATGGTGCAGGTGGTGATGTTGGCCTCAGGTGTGAGGTGCCGGGGAGACCCTGCTGTGATGCTGGGGTTCAGGACCTCTCCAGAAACAGCCGGACCGCAGCATGTGGACAGTGTCCGGGTCTGGGGCAATGAGGGTGAGCCTGGGGAGTGCTGTGGGGATGCCCTGTGTGAAGGCGGATAGGCTCAGTGGCCTGGAGGTGTCTGTGGAGGAAGCAGGAGGGGGAGGAGAGGCAGGGGTGAGGTGGGGAGAGTGGAGTAGGAACAGGGACTCTGTAGCCTGAGTGAGAACTGGCCAGTCCTGGGGACCCGGGGGCCAGGGCAGACTGAGGAGTGGGGCATGGCCTGTGCCTTCTCCCCACTGCCATGCCCAGCCTCCAGTGCCTGCCCTCCATGGCCCGTGGGGGTGGCTTCTGGCTTGCAGACCGGGCTTCCTGCTGCCCCAGCCCCTTTATGGAGGCTCTTTGTGCTGTGGTCTTGGCTCTGGGGCCTCCTGTCTCCTTTTAGCGACCAAAGGGCAAGGTCTGCTTCTGGCCCTTGAGGAAGCACCTGCTCTGGCTTTCTAGGGCCTTCCGTTCCTGGCTGGGGCAGGGAAGGTGCCCTTCATGCCCTGCTGGCCCTCCCCCACAGTAGAGAGCCAGCCAGGCTGCAGGCATCGTCTGGCCTGCAGAGGACCCAGTTCAGCTCTTGTAGACCAGTGTGTCCTATCGGGCCCCTGGGCAGGGTAGGAGCTGACCTCAGCAGAGCTCTTTGAGCCTTCTAGAAAGATCTCTGACCTGTCATCCCTGGTTTTTCCTGGCAATCCATGTGGAGTTTGGGCCGGGGCAGCTGTGGTGGGTCCTGAGCCTGTAAACCATGCTGCTGGCTGTGGTCATGCCCAGGCTGGGCTCCTTCTGCAGCATCCCACAGCCCAGTTCCAGGAGCCTGCCCTTGCCCCTCTCTCCACCACAAGCACATGTCAGGGAAAGGACATGGGTGTCACAGGTGGGTGCCCCAGTGATTGCCGGGCATGGTGTCTGGATCGGTGTAATGAGGTGTCCAGAATGGGGTTATCTGCTCAGTCTTCCAGGCTCTGCCCATAGCTTCAGCCTCCAGGGGCCCTACCCCTTCCAGAATGGAGACTGAGAAGGTGTCTCCTGGCTCGGCTGCTACGAGCAAGACTCCAGTGGAGCTGAAGGCTGAATCCCTGGGATGGGAGGGGAGGGCACCCTGTCACTCAGCTCCTCTGTTAGTCATGGCATGTCCATGCAAGTGCCTCTGAAAACAGCCAGCGAGCTAAGAGCTAAGAGCTAAGAGCTAAGAGCTAAGAGCCAGTGAGCTAATCACACTCTAGGGTCGCATTCCCCCAGGATCGGACACTGTGGTAGACCAGATGGCCAGAATGCAAGTAGTTGAAAACATTCCTAATGTGCACAGGGAGAGGCTTTGTGTCTGAGATTTGCCTTGATGGCCTCTGCCATCAGGGAACTTACTCCTGAGCACTTTCCCCCAGAAGGAAGGTCCTTATGCATGAGAAACACGACAGGAAAGTCCTTCTTGCTTCACTTGTTAGACCAGAAGCAACACAAGAGCAAATGGCTGCTGCCGCTGATAAACCAACAGTTGTGAGAAGCCACCAAAGGGAATAGAAAGGAACGAGAAACTGAATTTCCCTCCTCAAATACCCTATGATGAACAAAAAAAGAGTAAAAACCAGAAAGAAGGCAAGAGCTTACAAACAAACAAACAAACAAAGAAACAAAATGGGTGGGAACACAAACTCATGCTACTGTCAAAGAAAGAGCGAGAGTCCAGTGGCTGCTGGCACGCTCCCCACTTCACCCTTACAGCCCACAAGATGCAGTGGGGAGTTAACAAAGCCCGGAGAAGGCCCATATGTTCCTCCCGTTCCTGAGGGAAGGGGCTGGCCACGGGGTCCACATGCCACAGGACAGAGCACTTTCAGTGCACGGGAAAAAGGATCCACAGCGTCAGTCTTCTCAGTGAGTGAGGAGTCAGGACAGGAGTCTGCCCAGATGCCGAGGCTATGGGGTAGTGGTTGGGGGCCTCTGTGGATGTCTGGCTGCTCCTCCGTGGTGACAGAGGGGCTGCTGCCGGCACTGGCTCCTGAAGCAGGAGGGACGGCCAGGAGCAAATGCACTCTCATTGTCAGTCTGGCTTTTTGTTCAAGAAAGGAAGCCGCAGCTTCTCCTGAATCTCCTTGTCCAGACCATATCCTTGTGTCCATCTGGGGCCTCCATCATGGTCTTGTCCCCCGGACCTAGGAGTGTTGGTTCTCTCTTCGCTGGGGTCCAAGAGCACATACTGCTGGATGGACACCTCATTTCAACCTGCTCTCTGGCTGGCATGGGAGCTGCCACAAGGACAGGGAGGGCGGCCACAATGGGCCATTAGTGATGGAAGCAGTGGCTCCAAGGCTTGGGTACTCAGGGCAGTACCCCTCCCCCCAGAGTAGGACAAGCCTGTCCCTCTGGTCAGTCCCTGCAATGACTTGGACATTCACAGGACCTCAGAAATCATGACATCTCCTTCTCCCCTTCTTTTCCTGAAAGCTGGGCTGAAGCAGATCAGGCCAAGCTCAATCCTCAGCCAACGGCACTGAGGGGTGTCTGTGGCACGATGTCCCCCTTGCCGTTCCCTCGCCATTGCTGGCATGCTCTTGCGGGGGCGGGGGGGGGGTTCCAGCTGTATGCACTTTTGAGGCAGTGTTCAAGCTTTTCTCTTGTGGGCTGTCCTGACTTGGCCTCAGAGGCTCTCACCCCTTTCCCACTGTCCCCACAGACTCCTGTCATCAAAGGCTCCCAGCGAGGAGTGAGTGAATGGGAAGAGCCAAGTGGCCTCGGAATTCTTGGGGCGCTCCCAATGGCCATCGGTCAAGGCTTGGCACCTAAACTGTATTAGAGAAAGTGGATGCTCTTTGGATAAAGGGTCTGGGTGGACAGAACCAGGAATCATGGCTCCCTCAGTTACCAGAGCATGAAGACAATGAGGGGCCGCCACCACAGCCACTGACCCACCAGAGTTGGCCTCTGTGTGGTGAGTTGCTTTCCTGTTGGTGGCTCCCTAAGGCCCCTGCAGTGGGTAGACCAGCTGGTTTTCTTGGAGTAGGGAAGAGGCAAGGCTGTGCAGAGGTGCAGCTATGTCCTGCTCCACATTTACCACGATTTTCCTTGGAAAGACTCTTGAATGCTCTGAGGCTTAAGATCCCTCATATGCAGAAACACAGGTAATAGCATCTTGCTTACGAGAGTCTTGTGGGATTAAGAGGTAGTGATGCATAAGAGGCCCCTGGTGACAGGAACTCACAGAGAGAAGATCTAAGGAGAGTCATCAGCTATGACATGGAGGCTGAAATATTTGCCTCCATAAAATTTAAAAGTCATTTTATTTTACTTTATTTCATCACGATGAGTGCATTCCTATCTCACCTGCCCCCTCCCCTGCCTTTCTGTAACCATCACTTAGCTCTTTATAGATAAGAGTGGTTTTTTTTTTTTAATTTAGGGAGAGAGGTTAGGGGGAGAGGCAAAAGTGGGGGGAGAGATAGAGATAGAGAGAGAGAGAGAGAGAGAGAGAGAGAGAATCC